TTTTAAAAACTCTCTGTTTTATGTGACTTGGCCGAAGAAGCGCATGAAGGGGAGAAGGCTACCTTCACGGCGAGAGAGCTCCTGGCGTAACTTCCTACCCAACAGGAAAGGAAGTCGTGGAAGGAGCGAACTCGGACAACCAAAAAGGGTTGAGGAGGCACGCGAAGGAAGAAAGTTACCTTTGCAAGCGAGCAAGCTCCCTTCGTGGCTTCCGATTCAAAATGCCCTAACTTCCGATCCTACGGGAAGGGAAGTCGTCGAGGGTGCGGAGTCGAACAGCTACCCAGGAGCCGAAGGAACAAACAGAAGGGAGAAAGTAACCTTCACTGCTATCGAACTCCCGTTCTTGCTTCCGCTCAAAATGCCGTAACTTCCGACTATGCAGGAAGAAGCATCGTCGGAGGAGCAACAGAAGACCTGAGAGAGCACACGATGGAAAAGGAAAAAAAAAAATCCGAAGGCATCATCCCTTTCGGCTATTTAATGACGAGCAAAGACGTGCGTGGGTCGTGTGGGATGCAACATCGTCGTATGAAGAGCGGCGCTGAATCATGCGTAGGTGTTGATTTCGCAAGATTTACGCGATTTCGAGATCATGTGAAATAGCATCGACGTGAGAGCATATACACGCCCTCTATTCTTTTTTTGTTTTCTCTGTTTGGATACAGTTACAGGTCAACAGAAAGCAACACTTGGATTTTTGTTCTAATCTTGCTTTGAACTGTACTTTTATATGGAAAGATATAGGTGCTTTAATTCTTTCCTCTTCTTTTTGAATTTTGTTGAGGTATGAGAGTGACAGAGTTCACATACTTAATTGTGCACTTTTGTTATTTGGTTCTTTTGTTAACAAAATGCAAAATGCAGCTTTCAAGGTGACTTGATCAACCGGACCAAAGAGAATATGGTTTTCATTCACCTGTCTTTGGTAAATTCAATTGCCCATTAATCATAAGGGATCCAAACACCCAATATGAAATTGTAAAGTAAAATGCATTTGCATTCTCCCAATTCATTTATACCAAATATAACATTGGAGAATGAGTTTTTTTAATCTTCTTTTAGAGCCACAATACTGTGTTGGTTTATGAAAGTTTTTTCAATGACGCTAAAGCCTTTCATAGCAACCTTTGTCATGCCAACTTGCATATATAACAAACTAAATCAAGTTATAATCATATATAAGTTGAGTTGTTCATAACCATCTTCCGTCTTGGAAATCCTCTTTGTTCTTAGTAAGAACTAATAATCCAAGTAGTCCAATGACTTATACAACATTTGTCTTGCACTGAAACTCTTGTTTGATATCTACGTATTCTCCAAATATATCATGGGATGCTACCTAGACCATCTAACATGTGATCCGAAGTAGTAGATCGACATCATTCATAATGGACAATGGGTGCTTCTATGTAGCAACAAGAGAGTCCAAGCTGTAGTTGGTATTTATGAGGAAACAAGAAATGAGATAGTTGTAGTTGATATAACCACAGAATGTGTGGATATGAGCTCTTTTCTAGGAGTTATGGATGAAATTAATCTTCGCATAACCATGGAAACATTTTGCTATGTTAATCCAGTTTGATGGTCAACGTGACAATTGCAATTGTTGCATAAAATTTATTATACCTCAATTTAAGAAAAAAAGAAAAAATAATATAAAAAGAGAAAAAGAGGGAGACCAAGTCAAAAATTTTTTAAACCTCTTATTATTATTCACGAGATTCTCGATCACATCCTAAACTTTCTTTTAAAATCAAGGAAGATACTAGGAACCATCTTAATTCAATTAAAACCCTCCTTCCAACTCCTAACATTAGGAGAGCCTAGCTACTTAAGCTCAATCCTAAGTCTAGCCTATTGATATATAATATTAATAGTATTAAATATTATGGCACGTTAGATATATTATACACAGTAGATAATTTAGGTGGACTATTATAATGTGTGTGTGTGTGTGTGTGTATATATATATATATATATATAATTTTGCAAATTATATAATACCTCACGAGGATTCATTAATTTAACACCAAATAGTTGGGATAAGGATCTTGATGATGATGGTAACTATATAATTTTAAGAAAGCTT